CACTTCCTGTGTGTACTTCCCACACCACAACACTTCCTGTGTACCACACCACAACACTTCCTGTGTGTACCACACCACAACACTTCCTGTGTACTACACCACAACACTTCCTGTGTACCACACTTCCACAACACTTCCTGTGTACTACACCACAACACTTGCTGTGTACTACACCACAACACTTCCTGTGTACCACACCACAACACTTCCTGTGTACTACTTCCACCACAACACTTCCTGTGTACTACACCACAACACTTCCTGTGTACACTTCCTGTGTACACACCACAACACTTCCTGTGTACTACACCACAACACTTCCTGTGTACTACACCACAACACTTCCTGTGTACTACACCACAACACTTCCTGTGTGTACCACACCACAACACTTCCTGTGTGTACCACACCACAACACTTCCTGTGTACCACACCACAACACTTCCTGTGTACCACACCACAACACTTCCTGTGTACCACACCACAACACTTCCTGTGTACTACACCACAACACTTCCTGTGTACTACACCACAACACTTCCTGTGTACACCACAACACTTCCTGTGTACTACACCACAACACTTCCTGTGTACTACACCACAACACTTCCTGTGTACCTACACCACAACACTTCCTGTGTGTACCACACCTCAACACTTCCTGCAACACTTCCTGTGTACACCGCAACACCACTACACCACAACACTTCCTGTGTACCACACCACAACACTTCCTGTGTACACAACACTTCCTGTGTGTACCACACCACAACACTTCCTGTGTACCACACCACAACACTTCCTGTGTACTACACCACAACACTTCCTGTGTACCACACCACAACACTTGCTGTGTACCACACCACAACACTACACACAACACTTCCTGTGTACCACACCACAACACTTCCTGTGTGTACCACACCACAACACTTCCTGTGTACTACACACCACAACACTTCCTGTGTACCACACCACAACACTTACCTGTGTACAACACACCACAACACTTCCTGTGTACCACACCACAACACTTCCTGTGTACCACACCACAACACTTCCTGTGTACCACACCACAACACTTCCTGTGTACCACACCACAACACTTCCTGTGTACCACACCACAACACTTCCTGTGTACTACCTGTGTACCACCACAACACTTCCTGTGTACCACACCACAACACTTCCTCCTGTGTACCACACCACAACACTTCCTGTGTACCACACCACAACACTTCCTGTGTACCACACCACAACACTTCCTGTGTACTACACCACAACACTTCCTGTGTACTACACCACAACACTTCCTGTGTACCACACCACAACACTTCCTGTGTACCACACCACAACACTTCCTGTGTACCACACCACAACACTTCCTGTGTACACCACCACAACACTTCCTGTGTACCACACCACAACACTTCCTGTGTACCACACCACAACACTTCCTGTGTACCACACCACAACACTTCCTGTGTACAACACTTCCTGTGTACCACCACAACACTTCCTGTGTACCACACCACAACACTTCCTGTGTACCACACCACAACACTTCCTGTTACTACACCACAACACTTCCTGTGTACCACACCACAACACTTCCTGTGTACCACACCACAACACTTCCTGTGTACCACACCACAACACTTCCTGTGTACCACACCACAACACTTCCTGTGTACCACACCACAACACTTCCTGTGTACCACACCACAACACTTCCTGTGTACCACACCACAACACTTCCTGTGTACCACACCACAACACTTCCTGTGTACCACACCACAACACTTCCTGTGTACCACACCACAACACTTCCTGTGTACCACACCACAACACTTCCTGTGTACCACACCACAACACTTCCACCACAACACTTCCTGTGTACCACACCTCAACACTTCCTGTGTACCACACCACAACACTTCCTGTGTACCACACCACAACACTTCCTGTGTACCACTTCCACCCACAACACTTCCTGTGTACCACACCACAACACTTCCTGTGTACCACACCACAACACTTCCTGTGTACCACACCACAACACTTCCTGTGTACCACACCACAACACTTGCTGTGTACCACACCACAACACTTCCTGTGTACCACACCTCAACACTTCCTGTGTACCACACCACAACACTTCCTGTGTACCACACCACAACACTTGCTGTGTCAACACTTCCTGTGTACACACCACAACACTTCCTGTGTACCACACCACAACACTTCCTGTGTACCACACCACAACACTTCCTGTGTACTACACCACAACACTTCCTGTGTACCACACCACAACACTTCCTGTGTACCACACCACAACACTTCCTGTGTACCACACCACAACACTTCCTGTGTACTACACCACAACACTTCCTGTGTACTACACCACAACACTTCCTGTGTACCACAACACTTCCTGTGTACCACACCACAACACTTCCTGTGTACCACACCACAACACTTCCTGTGTACCACACCACAACACTTCCTGTGTACCACACCACAACACTTCCTGTGTACCACACCACAACACTTCCTGTGTACCACACCACAACACTTCCTGTGTACCCAACTGTTGTACCCACCAACACTTCCTGTGTACCACACCACAACACTTCCTGTGTACTACCACACCACAACACTTCCTGTGTACCACACCACAACACTTCCTGTGTACCACACCTCAACACTTCCTGTGTACCACACCACAACACACTTGCTTTATACATTACCATTTATTTTCCATTTTATTGAGATCCACTTCAATATATTTCTTTTGTATCTGTCCATTTAAATTTTTTTTAAATAAATTAATGGAATCAGATTTAAATAATTTGTCCATCTATTCTTATCTATTGTTTTGTGTAAGTCAAAATTCAGTTTAGCTTCTGTTTTTACTTATAGGTAAACCATCTATGCCTTTCAGCAACAAGGGAGCAGTACATAATTAGACCTTCTTGACATTAAATTTTTTTCCCCATTTCGTTAATTCATTCTTCTTAGGCAGGACGGTAGACTGACTGTCTTGCTTCATGCAGGTCGCCGTTCAATCCCCGACCGTCCAAGTGGTTGGGCACCATCCTTTCCTCCCGTCCCGTCGCAAATCCTTATCCTGACCCCTTCCCAGTGCTATATAGTCTTGGCCCTGTCTCTTACGGGCTCACCATAGCCCGTGCTACTTGGAACTTGTTCCGAGTAGCTGAATCTATAACAACAACAACGGCCCTTTCTCCTCATAGTTCCTTCCTTCCTTCATTGTTGCTTCACTGTACTCCTGAAGTACTGTGTATTCTTTGTTATCATAGTTCGTGTTTCAATCATATACCGTAAGCCATTTCCCCCTTAACCGGTGGAGGGGGTGACGTCACTGTAATAATGAGAGTCTAAATCAAAATCAAAACTCACTTACGATAAGGAATTCAAAAGAAAATGTAAATGAGATACACTTTTCAAGTACAGGAGAGAGAAAAAAAGGCGCATGTGGAAGAGACGTGGAGCCCTGTACAAGTTGACTCAGTGGAGCAGCCAATGTTAAAAATTAGTTTCAGCATTAGTAAATGCAGAGTAATGCTCTCTGGGTACAACAATGTTTGGAAAACCACTTAGAAGAGGAGAGGTGAGGGGGGGGGGGCGGAGGCTTGGAGTAGCCGCCAGTAAAGTGAGGAAAAGTGCACTCAACACTCTCACGGTCGCGAGTTGCACAATCACCGGAAGATGCTGTTGAGAATGAATACCAGACCGACGATCCTGATTCATCCTTGCCGCAATTGTTCCTTGGACACCCTGCCAGTTCCGCCTGAGGGAGGAAGGAAGCCGTAACCTGACGTGACCTTATCAGCTGGGACACGATAGTTCCTACAGCCACAGCTCTTGATACTGGTAATGGCTCAAGAGGGCCCCCACTTACGGGCTTTTCATGCCCGTGCCACCTTTTGGGTGGCTTAATCTTCATCAATCATCAATCAGTTCCTACAGCCATTCGTCTCCAAGAGCCCGGAGAGTCGCAGCGCCTGAGGCACTCATCTCCCGAAGAGCTGATGGATTATTTTCTCCAAAACTGGTTGGTTGGTTCTTCTTGCGGAGCGGCGGAGGTGTCCGGCGCCGGATTGACAGGGAATTGACGGATCTTGACGGGCTCCCTGTCGTTTCTACCTGCCAAGGGAACGCTGGACCACATCTACAGGGCCTGTCGTCGTCGCTCCCACATCAAACAACGACAACAATGCCAAAACGACAGAGCCAATACAATAACTGAGAGAACAAAAATCCTATAGAAAAATATTTAAAAATTTAATGTTTCATCCGAGGCAGTTGGTGGTTACTAGAGACCACTCACGACTAGGAAGGTTGGACGGAACGGCAGGAACGGGACGAAAGGGAATTCCGGATGGAACGGAGAGAAGGGAGGAACAGTCGGAACAAGAGGAACGAGACGAAGAAGAGAACGGACGAAAACTTAGGAACGGGAGAACGGAAAGAACGATAGACTATACGAAATGAACCATTTATTCCCCGAAATGATTGTAACAATTCTGACAATGATGATGATGATGACAATGATGATTAATTGTGAACCCCCCAAAATTAAAAACAAATTAAAAACTTTTAATAAAGAAAATTAGATAAATATTTGCCCATAGAATGGAATTGAATTATTGGTAAAGCCCTCATTTGGCGCACCTGTGTTGACACCTGTGTAGACACCTGTGTAGACACCTGTGCAGACACCTGTGTAGACACCTGTGTAGACACCTGTGTAGACACCTGTGTAGACACCTGTGTCCTGACGCACCTGTGTAGACACCTGACGCACCTGTGTAGACACTTGACGCACCTGTGTAGACACCTGACGCACCTGTGTCTTGATCTACAGAGACGCGGTCTATATACTGGCACTCCTCGCTGGTCTGCATGTCCCGTGATCCACAGACTGTCATGTTCTGTGTCGTCAAAGATAATGACGTCAAAGATAATGACGTAGGATGATGAACACAAATGATGAGTATGAAGAACAACAACGAACACCTTCATCTAAGAAGTTATTCTTTAAGCTGGCTGACCAAGCTTTTTCTGTCACAGTAAGCTTTAAGGGAGAGTTCGTTAAGGTGAGTAGATGTATGGGTGGAGGGGGGAAGGGGAGTAGGGGTGTGTGGGGGGGGGGGGTTCGTCTCATTAGCATAATCCGTACATCAATCCTATGCCATGTTTTTTTGTTTTGTGTTTGTGTCTGACATACAAAAAGTCATGCTCTTAAATTTGGTTATATACACACATTCAAACACACAGCAATATACAAACAGCTATACACACACACACACACACACACACACACACACACACACACACACACACACACACACACACACACACACACACACACACACACACACACACACACACACACACACACACACACACACAACACACACACACACACACACACACACACACACACACACACACACACACACACACACACACACACACACACACACACACACACACACACACACACACACACACACACACACACACACACACACACACACACACACACACACACACACACACACACACACACACACACACACACATACACACACACACACACACACACACACACACACACACACACACACACACACACACACACACACACACACACACACACACACACACACACACACACACACACACACACACACACACACACACACACCACACACACACACACACACACACACACACACACACACACACACACACACACACACACACACACACACACACACACACACACACACACACACACACACACACACACACACACACACACACACACACACACACACACACACACACACACACACACACACGAAGCTGGAAAAAGTTCAGAGGTATGTCACTAGGCTAGCCCCAGAACTAAGAGGCATGAGTTATAAGGACAGACTACGTGAACTGCACCTCACGTCGCTGGAAGACAGAAGAGCTAGGGGAGACATGATCACCACATACAAAATTCTCAGGGGGAATTGACAGGGTGGACAAGGATGAATTATTTAACACGGGTGGCACACGTGTTAAATAATTCATAATTCATAAATAAATAATTCATAATAATTCTAGTGGCGCTTTCACCCTGATAGTTCCTTCTTTCCTTCGATTATTAAAAATTGGTAGAAATTACATCTCAAAAGCACATTTTGAAATGCATTAGGAGATTGACATTTATTCTGACAGCTGATAAAATTGAGAGTTACTTACCCAGTACGAAAGAGTTTCTTTAAAGTGTGAAAGAGTGACTTACCAGTGTGAAAGAGTCTCTTACCCAGTGTGAAAGAGTGACTGTAAAGTGTGAAAGAGTGACTTACCCAGTGTGAAAGAGTAACTGTAAAGTGTGAAAGAGTGACTTTCCCAGTGTGAAAGAGTAACCGTAAAGTGTGAAAGAGTGACTTACCCAGTGTGAAAGAGTCCATAGACTGACTTGTGTGTACACGTCAGTCATAGTGTAGATGACTTGTGTAGTGACATGTGCACTACAATTAGTTAATAAGTACAATTAGTTTTACCACCGTGTGTGCGGGGTGCTTCCTGGTTAGCCATCTGCGTTTGTGGGAGAGATATGGTATGTGAGGCACCCACATGACGCATGGTTATGCTATGAGATGAGGGAAAAGCCGCATAATGAGGCGAGTCACTTATAAATACCGTGTCAACATAGGTTACCTCTTACGAGCTATTCACCCACCCACACATCGTGTCAGCAAGGCGGACAGCCCGCCTGCTTTCATTTCTCTCACTGTATTTCCCACTTCTATACTTCCCTTCACCTATGCCTCTCCTTCCTCTTTACTCCAAAAAAAAAACACACAAAAAAACGGGCTATTCATGCCCGTGCCACCTCTTGGGTGGCATAATCTTCATCAATCAATCAATCAGGTTACCTCACAAAGCTTGACTATTAGGAACGAGAGCAGATTACTCTGATAAGCTTCCCGAAGAAGCTTTCTTAAAGATTAATAAAACCCCCTCTGTGAATCCCATGAATCTATATGAATCATATGAATCTTAATCCCCCAATCCATGTGGGATTAAGCGTGATAAACTGGTTACTTTAATTACACATTCGGATCTACGAAATTTCTCCCTCATATAAAATCTGCCTCCACCCCCTCCCAAAAGGGGTGGGGGTGAACAGGGGTGGGGGGGGGGGTTGATTATTCGTGCAAGCAATACTTCAGATGTTAATGTGAACCGAGACACTAATTCCCTGCCCAACAGGTTAAGTTACACGCGATAATAATAATAATAATACACTTTGGATTCTGTTTTTGTTGCTCCAACACTCTTCATTCCAAGAGTAACGCATCTTTTTTCAAGACAAGCAATTCCACACACGCACATTATATATATATATATATATATATATATATATATATATATATATATATATATATATATATATATATATATATATATATATATATATATAGCCGAGGCTATTATATAGTATCTTGGGCATAGCATTTTACCAAATCACCTATGCCCAAGTAAAATGCTATGCCCAAGATACTATAGTGCCGGCGGTGGGGGGGTTCAAATATATATGGATATAGGCGTCTTGTATAGTTGCGTGGCTCCTGGGAGTATGGGTTCGAGTCACTTTGGGTTATGATATATATATATATATAATATATATATATATATATATATATATATATATATATATATATATATATATATATATATATATATATATATGTGTGTGTGTGCTGAATGATAACCCTTATGAGTTGCATATTGCACAGACGATATTGCAAGCAGAGATAGCCCAGAAGATATCATTTCTGGTACACAGTTCGATTCAGGGGTAGATATAGATACCCCCCCCCCTTAGAACTCCTGTTAGCAAGTTTAGATAATTTTCGCCCTTTTCTAAATTGAAGCTTTTTAAGCTTAACGAGAAAGAAAGAACCCTGCGTAACGTGTTCTTAAGTGTTCTTGTTCTGGTTCTCACCAGAGGGTATGATTATATAACATTTCAAGTCTTAATAGAGAAGTTAAGTGTCTTGGGGCGGTCTTGAGTAGCTTAGATGCGAGGCCTTGGGAGTCTGGTCGTGACTGTGGTGTTAGAGGGGTGGCTGGGGTGGGTGGGGGGGGGGGGGGGGGGTGTTGGGGGGTGTGTTGGGGTGTGTTGGGGTGTGTGTGTTGGGGGTGTGTTGGGGGTGTGTGTTGGGGGTGTGTGTTGGGGGTGTGTTGGGGGGGGGTGTGTTGGGGGTGTGTGTTGGGGGTGTGTGTTGGGGGTGTGTGTTGGGGGTGGGTGTTGGGGGTGTGTGGGGGGGGTGTGTTGGGGGTGTGTGTTGGGGGTGTGTTTGTTTGGGGTGTGTGTTGGTGGGGTGTGTGTTGGGGTGTGTTGGGGGTGTGTTGGGGGTGTGTGTGTTTGGGGTGTGTGTTGGTGGGGTGTGTGTTGGGGTGTGTGTGTTGGGGGTGTGTGTTGGTGGGGTGTGTGTTGGGGTGTGTGTGTTGGGTGTGTGTGTTGGTGGGGTGTGTGTTGGGGGTGTGTGTTGGGGTGTGTGTGTTGGTGGGTGTGTGTGTTGGGGTGTGTGTGTTGGGGCATGTGTTGAGGTGTGTATTGGGGTGTGTGTGTTGGTGTGTGTGTGTGTTGGGGGCATGTGTTGAGGTGTGTGTTGGGGGGGTGTGTGTGTTGGGTGTGTGTGTGTTGGGGGGTGTGTTGGGGTGTGTTTGTTGGGTGTGTGTGTTGGGGTGTGTGTGTTTGGGGTGTGTGTTTGGGGTTGTGTGGGGTGTGTGTGTTGGGGGTGGGTGTTGGGGTTGTGTGGGGGTGTGTGTGTTGGGGGTGTGTGTTGGGGGTGTGTGCTGGGGGGTGTGGCTGGGGGGGGTGAGGGTGTGGCACACACGGGACAGGACCAGGACGTGACGACACACATAGAAACAAAACACCCAAATAAACCAGAAAGGTAAAAAACAAAAAACAAAACAAAGCTAAATGGTAAGACAGCGACGTGAAGACAGTGAGTGGAAGACACTAGTGAAGGAAGAGCTGCAGGAAAATTTCCTTCATGACTTCAAATGTATCACACTAACGAATGAGAGTTAATTATTAATTAATTATTTGAATTAATTATTATTAATTATCTTTAAATAGAGAGAATTAATCGCCTTTCGTAATTGAAAGACAAAAGCTACTAGGCGAGGCCAGGGGTTTTAAATATGCCATAGCTGGAATATAAGAGAGAGGGGACATGATCACGACGTAGAAAATAGTAACAGGAATCGACATAGTTGACAAAGAGGAATTCTTGAAACCTGCAATTTCAACCTACAAGAGATCATAAATTCAAGCTAAGGAAGCAAAGATGCCGAGGAAATAAGAGAAAGTTCACTTTTGTAGAGTGATAGAGAGTTGGAACAAGTGAGAAGGTGGTGTAGGAGGCCAACACCGCCAGTACACAGCACATCCAGCCCAGCTCCTGTGCCAGGTAAGTCCACTACGGGCTCACCATAGCCCGTGCTACTTGCCCCGCTCCTGTGCCAGGTAAGTTACGGGCTCACCATAGCCCGTGCTACTTGCCCCGCTACGGGCTCACCATAGCCCTGCTACTTGCCCCGCTCCTGTGCCAGGTAAGTTACGGGCTCACCATAGCCCGTGCTACTTGCCCCGCTCCTGTGCCAGGTAAGTCCACTACGGGCTCACCATAGCCCGTGCTACTTGCCCCGCTCCTGTGCCAGGTAAGTTACGGGCTCACCATAGCCCGTGCTACTTGGAACTTGTTCCGAGTAGCTGAATCTATAACAACAACAACCACCGCCAGTAGCTGGCCTCCACGATGTGTTGATGACAAAGAGTACTGGGAAGACGGGACACCACCAGCGTAGCTCTCATTACCTAACTACACTTGTGCAATTACAAATGTGTGCGCGCGTGCAAGAAGAGTCTGGCCATCTTGACACACAGGAAGGGATGATGAGGCGACTTCTCATAACATTATCCGGTGAGATGAGTGAGGTAGAGAGGGAGGAGGTGCGGAGTGAGGTAGGAGAAGGGCAGGGGAAGAGGAGAGACTTAATAAAGGGAGACTGAAGGAAC